ACCTACGACGCGAACGCGAAAATAGAAGACTACTGCATCGGAGATAGGGTCCTACTCCACAACGAAGCCGTACAGCGCAGGCGTTCAGCTAAATTGACCCCGAAGCGGATAGGCGTGTACGAAGTAATCGCGAGAAATTCGGCGCTTAACTACACTATAAAGATGGGTCGGAAGACCATCCTGGTTCCCGCAAACCGCCTAGAATACTTCACTGAGCACTAAGGAGGAAGCGGGATGGCCACAGCCGGAGGACGAACGGAAACACTGTTTATTTTGAACTCGCCCTACAGCTGTCGCCCGCATATCGGGCACTCCTCACAGAACAATCGTTGACGGCCCAAGAAATCGGGCGGGTCCTTGTCTCCCTTGAAGATACCGAGGCCCACAGTGCCACCTCCACCGTCCTCCTGCACATGAACCTCCTGTGCCTGATTTCCGTGAGAGTTCTCATCGCGAACCTCTCTATCAGGGACCGATGGTCTCTCGTTGCCGGGATCACCAGTGGGTCCTAAGGAGCAATAGGCAAATCGTCAAGAGAGGATGCAGCGAGTTGGCCGCACACATGCAGAAAAGGAAAGGTCGCTGATACATACCACCTGACGTAATATAGCGGGTCCTGCGGCGACTCCCTCACAGTAGATCACCCGATATATGCCGTTTATCGCGTACTAGTGAAGAAAACGGAATGAGCTCCCTACAGCTTGCCGCGACCGAAACCGGTGTAGAGGGGGGAATTAAAGACAGAGGGAATTCGCTCTGAATAGGCAATTCCACGGTTCAGCCAGTCTCAAGTAACACGCTATTCCTCTTGCAGAACTGTCCTGCTGACGGAAAGCCGCGTAATCGCCAGAGAAACTGAAAAGGGGTTTACGGTAACCACGTTTGCCAGCAACCCGAGCATATTCTTTGAAGAAATCGAAACCCTCTCGGAAGCCAAGGCCACATGGAGACTAGCCGTTACCATTGACCAGGTGGCCTTATTGAAACGAGAAGCCGACGTCAGCGCTAATTTGCGGCTGCTATTAGACACCTGCGAGAAACAAGGAAGAGATGACCCTCTCTGTCGAGCCATTGCTGATTCCGTGGCCAGGATGGTGCGGATAATAGAAGACGGAATGGGAACAGTTCACGACTTCGTGAAACTGGACTCAGCGCGTAGGCGCAGGGGATTATGGACACCGCGGACGCGGAAAGGATCAACCAAGAAATCGCCGCCATACGCTCCAACTAGCGAATGCTGAAGGAGAGCATGAAGGATCAATTACAGGTGGTCGAGTTCACGTTGCACCTCTTCAACGACACCTTCACTAACGTGCAGAGCAACGAACAACGAGCTCAGCACCGTGCAACGTGCTGGCATTCGCAAAAATGGACACGGGCAACGGCCTTCACTATCCAAAGCGGGTCGTCACGCTCGACCATATCCTAGTGATTACTATGCACCAGCCGGGTAAATGGTTATTTGTAGCGCCCACCGACGAACCTATAAGTATTACCTGCGACGGAAACCCCGCCTCGTACGAAACATTAAGACACGTAGGTGTATTGACTTTGGTAGGCGTATGTACGGTAACCGCCCAGAGTTTCAGCTTGCGAACCATCCGTCGCATCACCCAGGTCGCCAACGAGGACTACTTGCCCCCCTTCAATCTCACACTATCGGAGATGGACGAAGTTAGTCCCCCGCGAGTGACCAGCGATATCGGAACGGTGAAACTTGTTAAAGTGCTACGAAACCCCGAGGAGTTAGCGCGCCTCGGGACGCGAGTGTCTAGCATTAAGGCATGCCTGGACCAGGACGACCAACACCTAGAACAATATTATCATAATCTAGGGTGCTACTCATTGGGTACAATAGCGCCAATAGCATTGGTTTGTTTTGCCGTGTACAAGTGTTACAAGCGTAAGCATAATTCGACATCAACGACGCTGACTCTCACGCCGAACTCGGTGACGCCCGCGGTAAACATCCAGTTAGAACCGCTAGTATCAAGGCCAGATAACCTTAGAGCGGCATTAAATAGATCACGCGAAAGGCGTTTTCGCTGGGCCGACCAGATCCCGCAAGACAGAACCAATGCTACGGGCAGACACGCCAGTTAAATTAAGGGAATTGTATCCAAAGTAATTATGGAAGCTGTGCTCCACTAGGAAAATGACCAGAATCAAGTCTTCACTCGAGGCCACCAGGGGCGAACGCTGTGTACAAATTGTGCGATTTTCTTTAAGGGGGGATGGATATTGTGCTGGGAGTCTCCTGACCCCATTGAGAAACGCCAGGCCAAGTAGTTCACGCGTGTAGCAATGCGCTAAGTCAGAACTAAAGGCGGCCTGACAACCGAGATGTGGAAATCGAAATATCGCACAATAATCACTTTTCGGAAGTCCAGCTTATAGCTGCACATCCGAAAATCGACAGTCTACAGTTAAAATCCGAACGGGTGAGGTGGTCTCGTGGAGTAGACTCGGTACAGGAAATAGGAAGACCGAACGGTGCCTATATTTTTCCAAGTCGACGTACGTCGAAATACTGTACAACACACTTGATTATTTCAACAAACCTTCTCAGTTTTGTTGTATTCACGCGTGTTTCAAGTCCTAAACCTGCAACGATCCCAAAAATACCTTGGTCCTAACCTCTCGATCGAACTCCTTCGTCACCGAGACGTTACGGCACAATAAGACTATGGCGAAGCGATCCTTCCAGATCTAGGAAACGTAAAGAATAATGTACGGGTAGATGTGCAGACGGAAGAACAGGAAAATGTACGGGAAAAAGTCCCGGTAAAAGTACCGGCGAGGAACACTAGGACACCCGGGGTATGAACGAAGCCCTTTGTAAATTTCATTTCTTTAATGTAATTATAGTGCGTGGTAAGTTACAGAATGTGGTGTGGTTACGAGTTAGGGTATATTCCGTAATTGATCCACAGTTGTTCTTATTAAATTTTAGCTAATGACATCCATCGATTTTTGTTAGCAGTCGAAATCAATCGATGCAATTGACTGAAATTTAATAACTATAACCGTGGTTCAATTACAGAATATGCCCTTAGTTTCCATTGCGCATGGTTGAAATGGATTTCACCAATCAACTTACAATATATTCCGTTCGAATCTCTGTTTTGATTAAATAGCTCAACGTCAATCCTGCACGGTGGAAATATATTAAATGACTTTTGTCGGTGCTTTAACCTATATAATTTCTCAAAAAGTAGTTTTCTAGCCCGTTTTTAGCCAATTGTCAAGTAATTTGTGTTATGCGATGTAGATATTTAAACAACTGTAGATATTTGACAGTTCCTATAAGAAGACATGATTTTAAGGTTAGATTTACTTTACGAATGTCAGTATTAACAAACTTGTAGCAATTTAATATGTGATTAGAATGCAAGTAATTTTAGAATATATTATACTTAATACTGCTGATAGTACTTTATCGTCTAGGTTTATATTGTAATTTGAACTTAAAGTACTTATCAATATGTGATTGCGAAGTTGAAAATGTTTCTATTCCAATCTTTACGTTTCATCATTTATGTTCCCAGGTACTTCCTAAATGTCCATTCCATTTTTAACACACTCGCTCCAGCAGTTTTCGATAGACTTCTGTTCACAAACATTTCCAACTGAATTTAGAACAACTATTCGCAACTAAAAAAATAAAATTTCTGTTGCTGTGATCAAATCAACTTCTGGGCATCTCAAGGTGAAGCATGTATAATCCTCCATCGTCCTAACCGTATGCTCCTCACAGCTAATAGCAAATCTATTTTCAGATTCCTTCTTGATGTCCATTCCCTTTCCTGGATGCTCGTGTACCTGTTCGTTTTCATTACGTGCATCGTTTCACCGCAAATCTCAAACGTGCATGTTAGGTGATACACTCTGTAGAGCACTAAGGATCGCTTTGGTAAATAAAATGTGTATGGAAACAATACACAGGAATTTTTGGAAATGACGCATCGCCATATGCTGGAAATGGTAGCTTATATTGTAAATATCGAATCAGCGATTTTGGAAGAAGGAATTATCGACAAGCAGATGTATGTACAAACGTTTGATAATTTTTTCACCGAGGATGAAAAAACTACATGCTATAATTATCTACTATCAACTTATAGTACCACCACAGGTTAAATCCGGACATTGGTCATCTTACATTTTAAGGAATATAAGTACACTCGATGCTGGGTTACCGACAGACCGGCAGAAAAATTTAGTGGAAAATGCGTTGTAGTCTATTGTTAAAAATTCAAAGTCGATTTTAAAATGTTCTTGGTTGTATTTTAAGAATAAAAAATGATTATAACCACTGCTTCTCAAATATTTTTTTTTGAGTGAACAGCGTACCAAGGTCCGTAACTCCTCCTCTCACAAGGGCAATCCACAGTATGGGAAATGAATTTGGAAATGGGGCTTTGTGTGGTAATAATAATGCCCGAACCTCACACCATGCTCAAGCCATAAGACCCCGTAGGCCGCCTGTTCTGAGAAAAACCACCTAAAAATTTGTGTAGCAACTTCTTTGCTAATCGGTTTTCTCCTTTGCTAATGGGTTCGATGGCCGAAGCGATAGCGTGCCACCTTGGTAAGCCAAAGTTCGAGCCTCTGCTCATGAACTTTTTTTCATACATTTTTTAATGCATTTTACGTCTGAATTTGTTTCAAATTATAATAATAGTCATGGAAATATGTATTATTATTACAATTTTATTAATTTCATTATAATTATTATGATTATGTTAGTACCGTACTCAATAATAACAATTTTTACTTAAGACATTGTTCAAAATTCCAACCTTCGGCCGCAATACAAGCTCGCATTCTGAAAAAAAAATTGCGCTTCACCTTCACCAACATCTCTGGAGTGACGCTAGCAAAGGCTTCGTTTATGCGGTCTCTGAATTCTTCGAGGGATCCAACAGGATGTCAGTAAACCTCCTCTTTGATGTGCTCCCAGAGGAAGAAATCCAGCGGGCTTAGATCTGGCCTGGAAACGCATGGTCAAGCCATATTCGCATCGCTGCCAGATAATGTACAGGTGTACCATCATGCTGCAGCCACGCTGTGGCTTCTTCGTCCGTACTGATACCGACAGCTCGGAGGAAGTATTCTCAAATTAAGAATTAAAAAGCGTCGGTACTCAGAACCTATCAGTTTGTTGGGGAGAATGTAAGGTCCAATCTAAAAAAAATGTTATAGTTGCACCGTTAACTTGAAAACGAAGGTCATTTCTGATGAGACAAAACTAATTTTTCAGATTTTTATGCCAGAGAGTTTAAAATGCCTGAAATATTCATAGAATCACATTTTGAAAAAAATATCTGCACGCGCGCGCGTGTGTGTGTGTGTGTGTGTGTGTGCATATTTTGCAAATGTTACTTATATCGACCTTCATTACAAAACAGAAGAATAACGTAGCCAGCAGGAATCATAATTGCAGACTCAGCACGTTACCCGGTGCATTGCCCGTGCCACCTACCCAGCTGGTTAGCCGAGTGCATTCCTAACGTCCTAACCGTACCTAGAGCATCAGCAAAAATCGACTATACAAGCAGCCAAAATCATGGCACAGACGCTCAAAAAATCATTCAGTTTCACGCGTAAAAGATCGGACTGCACATTGTCACTCGTAGCTCTAACCGTTAGAGTATTAGATTCAGTGTAATATTCGCAATCTGGCCTAGGTACGGATTCGTTATTACATACCCTAGGGAACAAGCTGGATCGGTTACCGGGCAAAATTGAGATGCATAGACTAATCTTTCCAAATATCGCATAATTTTGATAGATTTCTGTTCCAACAAATTTCTTTTTGCCTTAACCTCACACACAGTCAGGTTTTGTTATCCGATTTCACAATATTTCTCATAATAGAAACACTGTACACGACAATTAATTCAAAACTTTTAAATTGGTTGTAACAATATATCGTAAATTCACATTTTACTCGCGTTTTAAATATCTCTTACCCATCCTCAACATTTCAGAGAATATCTACCCACGTTGGAATAGCAAGGCGTGTTTCAACACCTTAAACGAGCAGCGAACCCACCATTGAGTTCATTCTTACCGCTCGGAATTCACTCAAATATTATTCACGTTACCTCCGGTCGTTCCTTTTCTTTTAGTTACTTCTAAATTTTTGTTATCAAATTTAAAGGGTTTGCTAGCCACTACGGCCTACGTAACACAAGATAGAAATAAACGCGTACTATAATACGTCTCGTTACCGAGAAGCGATAACGGCACGTAGGCCTCGTGGCCACACTCCAGGGTCCAGAAAATCACGGATTCGCACGCACAATTAAATTCACACAATATTAGTTTATAATAGAGAAAGAAAATACGATAGCCATGGAATTTTCCCGCATAACACTTGTTTCGAATCGGAAGGATTCGAGAACGGTAGCAAGGGACGATAATACCCTAGGAAAATTCCACGGTAATCGAACTTCAGAACTCACCGGTAATAACGACAAACAAACGTCTTCACACCACAACGGGCTGCCAGCGAGAGAGCTATCCATACGTTCGGTTCGCGTACGCTCGGTGGTGAAATCCCCACCCCTACTCTAGCGCGGTGGGCGCTCTTCCGAATTTAGTCGCTCCACAATTCAAACTGGGTTTCGAGGCCCTCGAAAATTCGATAAGGCGATACTTTACTTTCCAGCATATTCTATACTTAATAGATCGTTACTACTGTTCTCTTGGACTACATCAACTATTCTCCGGGGAGGTTCCACGGCTCTGCTAGTGGATATGGATGCTGTAGATCCCTCGAGGTGCACGCTTCCCCATCTACGGGGCCGGTTCTCGACGGTAACTTTTTCCCTCCTTGGACGGTAATGTTACGGCAGCCTTGTAGCTGACCCTTCGGTAGTATCCACGGGAACATCCTCCTCGCTGTCGTGACTTTTAGGGTCGTGAAGGCGCATCCTCCACCAGTCGCTGTAGTCCCGTTATTGCTGGCTCCTCGAGTCTTCCGGCTGCTATGATTATTCTTTCTCTCAGGAGGGTCCTTTAGACCTGTTCTCGGCAGCCCCTGTCCATGTGCGAGGTTTAGGGAGGCGCTTCTCCGGATAGAGCGCTTCCGGCCTTTGGCACGTACCGCTAGCTTGGCTCGGCTGGGCCTGCGACTCCTGTGCCTCCTCCGCGGCCAGTCATTCGGCAAAGCGGTAGCGGGTCCTCCTCTTCTCTGGAGTGGCTGCAACCGATATTAGTGGTGATCATCCACGTTCCCCTGTGGCGTTGCTTCGGGGTGCCCTTCCTTGGTTTGTTGTTTAGTATCTGCTCCCCACTCCGTCCGTGATGTCGTGTTACAAAGAAGTTAAGATACGAAAAGAGTTAGTTTAACAAAATATACGAAATTATATTAGGAGCCATGGAGTGTGTTGCCGTGATGGTGTTCCGAGTACGTGGCGGTAATGTGGCACGCCTTAAAACGCGAGAGCTAACCCTGGAACTGGTGACGGCAATTTTGCAACGTGACGTGGCATTTTGATGCACGTCAGAAAATTAGGCGAATTCGGCTACGTCGTGGGGCCGGATGGATTGCGGAGCGTTTCGCGTGGCGTTGGACTGATTTTATTTTAAGAATTTGTATTTATTTCCCTGTGGGGAACGTTTCGTTTGTTTTTGAGTTTATTAAGCGGATCCGAGAGGATTCTACACAATTTGTATTGAGACGGGGCCCGAGAGAGAGCCAACTATGGGCCTGGCGTAGCGCTGTCGAGGAGAGGGGACGTCAAGACCGGACCACACAACCTGGTGGCTCAACTACGCGCAGCAAGCGGCGAGCGTCTTCAGAAGCAAAGGGCATACAGGAGTGGCAGAAGCGGCGTGACGCGGAATATCGAGGGAGTAGAGGTGGATGTGATCCCCGCCTTCCGGAAACAGTACTGCAGCCATCCTATCGTAGCAAGATGCCAGGATCTATTTTACCGGGATCGGTAAAACAATTGAAGATCGCGAGGCGGCTAGCGGAGCCGATGTAACAGCGAACCTGATTGGACCAGGGGGTGGTATTACAGCGTGCTCTCAAGAAGGTTCCCGATTTTGGAAATTTGTAGCCTCACTCACGGCGTGGCCAAACTTAGTAGGGATAGACGTGCTATCGTTTTCTACCGATTTTTGTATTTATTGTATCGTATCGTGATCCGTTTGAGGGACTATAATCCAGGAGAGTGTGTTCCTGGCAATAGTAGGAGCTACTGGACAACGGTGAGTGACGCTCAGGGGTATTCTGGCTATTTTTTTTAATTCAGGGGATCAACCGATCTTTTCTGTTCGACGTACTCTTACGCGTCATCCTGCGCTTTCCTGACCACTAAGGGTCCAAGGTTAAATAATCCGGTGACAAACAGGAGATCGGTCTCGCATTTCATTATTTCAATTTTTCCGGTCTTGTGTCTAACCGTTCAGTCCACGTCTCACGGAATCGTCTCCCTAACACATGGGTGCGTGAGTCAATATCGTACCGCTTATTATCGTTACCGTATCGTTTGTTATATCGTATCGTATGTTGCGTTGTTCCAGCGGGAACATTATTGTATAATATCGTTCGGGTAAATATCCCAGTGTGTTATGCATCATCTCGATCAGTTTTCTGTACTTATCATTTGTATTTCACCATCTTGTTCTTATATTTACTATTTAAAATAAATCGGATCCTTCCCCGGATTTTCGTTCCGATAGTTTGTCGTTTCCAGTAATTTTGTTAGAGTGAACCTCCCTAACTTTCAGATTTTCATTATTGTCTCCCAGACCCAGGACCCCACCGCATAAGAGCTGTCCAGGGTGTCCTTAGGAGACAACGGTGTAACTCTGGTTATATCTGGCGCCAAATAATTTAGTATTTCATTAATTATTTCTCGCGGTGCCATTTATTTGTGCGTCACAAATTAGGCCCTTGCGGTCGGTGGATCCTGCTTGGACTTTGCAATGGCCTTTTAGGCCCGTATCGCGTTTCGGCGTGATTTTCCGCCGAGGACAAGACGGGTGAAATCCACCACGTCACAATATATATACAGGGTGTCCCAAAATTACCTGACCAACGGGGTATCGCGGTGTTCGGGAGGCACCACTGATCACAAAAATGACCTTCCTTTTGTCCGGAAGGTCATAGTTTTTTAATTGGAGCAGGTCAAAGTTAACCAATGAAAGCGAGGCGTCAAGAGAAATGTAGGCACCTGCGAACTCTGAGTTATCTTCCCTGGCTTTTGTTTCTCGGTGGGTTCGGTCAGGATGACGTCAGCCGAAGACATGCCTATTGGGAACAAGAAACAAGCTACCGAGAAACAAAAGCGAGAGAAG